CTCCCCCCCCTATTTAGATATTATTAGTAGATTATAAAAAAAGACTAGAATAAACTAGATTATTTATTATAATTTAAGGGCCTAGGGGTGTATAAGTAAGTAACTACTCTATAATAGATAGACTAAACCCTATGTTAATCTAATAGAAGGAAAATAAGATTATTAAATAAAAGATTTAAGGTTTAGTATATTTCTCTATAGTAGACTATTAGAGGCTTTTAGATAGTAGATATAGCTTTACTATAGTTATAATATAGTCTACTATTATATTCTATATTATTTACTATTAATAACTAACTAACTTAAAGACTATTCCCTTAGAACTTAAAGTCCTATCTATAGTAACTAGAGTATTAATATAACTATATATAAAAAGTCTATTCTAGCTTTATATTTATTAATTATTAAAGTTTCTTATAGTAAGTATAAATTAGATTATTACTTAAATAGACTTTATTTTTAGTTTCTAGTCTATATAAATTAATTCTTATAATAGTATAATTAAGAGAAAATACTACTAAATAGTATAGCTTTTAAAACTTAAGTCTCCTCTAAAGTAGACTTAAGTAACTTAATAATAGACTAATACTAATAAAAGTATAAAGGTTATTATTTTTATAGTAAAGTACTAAAGGACCCTTTATTAAAATAATATATTCTTTAATAAAAACTTATTTAGTTTTAATTATTATTTAAAAAAACTAATATAATTAGTACTTTAAACATTAATAAATATAATTTAATTTCTTAAGAGAATAAAACATTAAACATTAAATATTATAAAAGAATTAACTTATTAAATTAATTAAAACTTATTTAGTATTAAAAGACTTATAAAAATTAAAAAGTAAAAAAAGTTATTATTTTTTTCTTGTATTTTTATTTATAAAAATAAAGACTATTTAAGTAATTAAACAAATTAGATTTTCTTAAAGTTACTCTATAAGGCTTTTTAAAACCTAAAAGAAGAATAAAAGTCTTTAATATAATTTCTTTTATATATATTTAAAAAATAGAATTAAAAAAAGAAAATAAAAAAAGAAAATAAAATAAAAATAAAAAGAAAGATAAAAAAAGAATAATAAAAGTAATAATAAAAAGAAAAAAAATAGAAAAAAAGAAAGTAAAAAAGAAGAAAAAAAGAAAAACTAAACTATTAAAGAACTTTTAATTAAACGTTCTTTTATTTATAGTATTATTATCTTTATTCTATACTTTACTTTATTTTTTAGTTAGAATAGTACTAACTTAAAGACTTAAGAGATTATATTCTATA